GACATCTAAAAACATACAATAAGTCTGAATGTAATGAGTGAGTGAATGGATGGTGTTGGTTGAGGGCTTTGATGCAGCAGTGTGTTCAGAGAAAATGGAAAAATACCTGAACTCTGAGCATTGTAAAGCACTTTGGGTGACCTTGGTTTGTAAAATGCGCTATATAGATAAACATGACTCATTTACTTACGCTGTAACAACCCTCAATGCAACATTTTAAAGCAAACACTAATCCTGCTTTCCTACACTTTGAGAAATTATCTTTGGGGTGTACCAGCTGGGAGCAGGAGATGTATTCATTGTTTGAGTCTGAGTTCGGGGCCCACTGTGCTGATTGGACACTCTCACTAAAGTCCATTCTCCATAACCATACCTTCACATCGCTTCATGTTTTTATCATCTGGATTTCTCAAAACCTTCACTTTCATACTTCTGTGACCCTCACTTGACATGGTATGTAATCATCAAACTCTAGTGCTCCTCTTTTGTGCAAATGTTTTTTCAAAACTTTTCTCTACGGCAATGTACACAAGCTCCCCATTGGTTACTGCATCGATTTGAAAAGTCCTTTATAGGTTTGAAAGGTGCTGCATGGACTATAGACTAATCTGGACCCTCTGACCAACAGGCTTTTAATCTGCAAAGCCTCTCAGAACTGCTGACTCCTCACTTCAAGTTTTGCACAAGAACACTTTTGGTTGGAAGATTTTTGGTTTTCTGTTCTTTTAACCCTAGCACTAGCAACGTGAAGGGGGCCTTTCTGTGTTCAATTTTCATGTTTGCGTAGATTTCCTCCTACATACAAGAAGTACACCATGCACTTCCTGTAAGGTGACCCCACTTCCCTCACAGCAACAATGACAAGATATGAGGTAACAAATGCCTGAATTAAGTGGTTTTATCTCAATTTATCCCAATTTGAGAGTGTCTTAAAACACGATTTGCCATTGGGACAAAGCACATTAGTCTTATTTCAGACACTTTTTCTCATTCCAAGGGAGAAATGTCTTGTTTCTTGACAAATTTGCTTGTCCCATTAGCAAATCTTGTTTCAATGCAGTCAAAATGTGCCCAAATTAAGATACATTTTGCCAAATTTGAGCAGTTTTTGACTTATTTTTCATCACTTTTTGCTGTGTGTGGAGTGAGAAGAAAGATGGGAATAACAATTGTAAAGTGCTGTGTGACTCTGTCTGTGATGGACTTCATAAATAAAGATCACTTACTCACTTACTTTTACTTATCACAAATTATTCATACATTCATTTCAAACCTGTGAAATTGAGACCAAGAAAACATCAATCATGGAAACACATTTTGAAAAGGGAAGAGATAAAGCAGACATCAGTAGCCTCCACTACATTCTGACACTTATGGTCAGATGTGATGCAGGAGGGTCTGAGGCCGAGCACTTTTGTTCCCAGTACTTGAAGTAATACATGTTTTGACCAGTTACAGATTGCAGAACTGGGAATGTGCTACTCTGCATCCAAAATAATGGAAGTTTTTTTCATTGACCTTTGTGGCTTAAAATGAAAGACTGAAGTGGCAGTAAAAATACATTCACATGGTGTTACATGTCACTTGTATAAACCTGGTCTACGCAAAGGTCACTTTTGAAGCACAAAGAAGGACAAGGACTATTCTTGCTCAATATATGGATGCAGACAAACTTAACAAGCAGGAAAATCAAGACAAGCGCCAAAAGTCAACGTGCAAAAATCTGTCGCATGTTTCTGAATTGTTTTGAAAAACTGATTACATTATTTTGTGTGAGAAACCACTGAGCACAAGTGACCACTGATTGATATCTTAACTGTCCAATCAAATGCAACCATTTTACAGCTCAGGAAAGGGCAGTACAGATCAGAACAAAGAATATTAAATACCTATAGACGCCTGTATTATGGTTCCATCCGCTCTCACCCATTCAATACACACACACACACACACACACACACAAACACACAAACACACACATGGACATCAACATAGATAGATAGATAGACACATCCCATATTAACCTAATCATTATAAATACATATATATTTTTTTTTTTAGTAGTTCCTTGCAAATCCAGGACATTTAACGACATGTATGGACATATGGACATTTAAGGATGGTGGTCATCCCGCTCCCTATGTGTTTGTTATTATTGTATTTATGTGCTTGAAATGTCTGTTTTTATGATCTGTTTCTGAGGTGCTACAACTTTGTAGAGTCCTCCCAGACGACTGCTGATGTGATTTAGGGAAATACAAAAATAAATTTGAATTGAATCTTTGTGGCATCGTGTATTGGCCTTTTGTATACATTTTAGTTTTTTTAAGCGATGCAGTTTGCAATGACTACAATTCAACCAGGAGCCACACAGAAAGCCCAACAGTCATCACACGTTCAAATGTTCACTTAACTCCTGCATATATCCCCTACCGCTCCTCTCGATGGTGGACTAAAGGGGTGTGATGAGTTCATTATGACCGCAGCCGGGCGAACAGACAACACTCTGTCTCCAGGCTGCTGTAGACTGTTACATTGTCACTTTTCCTCTGCCACATCCCACTGTCATGACTATAATCTGCAGTGACACATGTGTCTTTTTTTCTGCTCGTGTCGCGTCTCTAAAGTGGACTCTGATGGCTTGAACCAGTGGCAGAAAAGGTCAGAGCACCAGGTTAGAAAGAGCTGAGCAGGCAGCAGGACAACCTACAGTATGAGACACTGTCGCTGAGTTGAGGAGCTCAATGACAGTCAAGTATAATTGATATTTTTGACTCAAAGTGATCAAATTAAAAACACAAATAGGAGCCATGCACTGGAAAAAGTTATTTTGAGTCAGACTTAAAATCAGGCCATTATTGTATCGATCAAACTTAGGTTACATTGAATTACAAAACCCTAGACTCTTTCTGTTGCTACAAACAAAATGTATTTACGATAAAATACACAAGTTACCCATCTTTAACACATCAAAATCTCTACATACAAAACACAAAGTTGGAATACAACTCCAAACAGTATAGACGTTACATAATGTGATTTATGCCATTGAACATCTACATGTTGCTATATTATGTTACTACTTTGCTTGGAATGTCACTCACTGTGGTTTAAAACATACATATTTTTATTATTGCAGTGAGAAAACTCGCTTCTCCACACATACATTGAGTAATTTAGCTTAGTGAAGTGGACCATTCCAGGCCAAAAATACATTTATATGAATCAAAATAACCCACTGACCTTACAGAACAGATGTGTCATGCACCTTTACGTAAAAAAATAAATACATATTATAGTCATGTCATGCTTTAGTCTCCTTTCTTTACCTCATTCTCAATGCACTGCCAGGCTTACAGTTGCAAAAGTCTACCTGAAGATGGCACTGTTCACCACGGCCAGCCTCTAGCTCTCCTCTCCCTGTCTAGAGAGGGGAGAGAGCAAGGGATAAAATTGAGGGTTATCTACCGCATTGAAATTAAGTAATGATTGGATGGCAACGACTATGAAACCGTGACAGAATTTGAATCCATAACACCAGTGTTTTCTAGTGTCATTTTGAAGGGTTACCATGTTCGGTCGCGCAGAAAAAAAAAAAAAATTGTCTTAGAATAAACTGGTGTATAGCAACACTTAAGGCCACTTCCTAAGACACAAACTACCCTTGCTTTAGATCATCACGACTCTAGCAGTGACAAATGCACACAAAGTCATATAAGATGGTATTGGTTGTCAAGGTTATTTCTTCCCAGGACAAATGGAGATGTGGGGGCGGCAGGGTGCCAAGAGCGGAGGACAGAGCGTGAATATGAATCCCGAGCATCATGCTTTCAGACAGAGACCCCTCTGTGTGGGGACATTATTAGCCCTCCTCTCTCACAAAGCGTCTGTTGTGTTTGCACTCGGGTCAAACATAGGAGATGTTTGGACTGCAACCTTTAGGAATCCCAAAATGATTGTGCCAAGTTGTCTTTGGGATTAGATAAGCGGTAATTGACATAATTGAAGATGGCAATCGTTGGGTGAGCAATAATATGTCTTTAAGGTGGCTTCACAGTTGGTGCCAGCTTGCATGGCCCACGAGAGGAAGGACACCAATTCACTCAAAAGCTTGGAATTTGTTGAGCTCAACCTTATGCCAAAAGCGTGTGTTTATCCAACTTTAATCTATTAGTAAAATAAGCATGGACTTATTACTCATGATCCACATTTTTAGATCAATGCAGCAACTTTTACCATAAAGTTTTTTTTTTTGCACATCACATTAGCACTAGTTAAATCCATCTACAACACTTATGATCGATCCTTCCCTGTGAGCGTAAGTGTTATAATTCCTGTAGCATCGTCAAAATCAAATCTACAACACTAACAGCTTTTTGATTTGTCTCTTTAGCCGCTTTTGACAATCACTCAAAAGCCCTTTCTGTGGCAGCTTCATCACCCCCATCCTCCTCCTCCTCATCCTCATCATCAGCATCAGCAACAGCAGCAGCAGCAGCAGAAGCACTCCCCTCTCTAGTCTCCTCGGGCTCTTTGGTCTCCGCAGCCCGCAGCAGCAGCCCCATACAGCATCCAACACCCCCCCTCCCCACTCTCTCCTCCCCCTCTTTCCTCCCTCATTGAGTGACGCGCCTCCCAGCCAATCAGCGCGCGTCTCTGGCTCCCCGCGCATACGCCAGTAAAAGAAAGGGGGGAGAGGGCGGCGCTAAAGTCAATGACGAGGGTCGTATGTGTGTCGGTGTGGTATACTTCGCCAGCTCTCCTTTGGGCTTACACCGGAGTTAGTGCGAGATCTTCAGCGGTGGGAGTGAGCGCGCCAGGATAGTGCGTGTGGAAGGAGTCCAAACGGGCGCAAGACAGACAGACAGCCGCTGCGTCGGGTGCCACGCTCACCTTTGGAGATTTTTCACAAGTGGGACCAGACTTTTCAGCTTTCTTTTCTCCGTTTCTTGCTTTTAACCTTGGTGAATCGCCTGCATGGAGCTGCGTGAACTTGAGACATGACGGGACGCATGTGTCGCCTCCTTCTCATAACAGGTAGCCAGGCCAGGGATGCTGCGACTTGATTTGGGAAACATTTTCTAAACCATCTTTTTCCCTTGATATTGGAGGCTATACACACCGCAAACCACTGACCACCTGGCTCCCGCTGATGCTGCCCAATAGACGCGCGCAGAGTGCTTGATCACCGTCAATTAGACTGCGCTCTGCCATTCGAGGAAAGTTAAAAGGAAATAAAGGCATACGGTATTTCATTTAGCACATTTTTGTCAGACCAACTGCTCTCCACTCGCTGACTGTCTTGATTATTATTCCTGGACCCAAAGCATCACACGGATATAGTACCCCCCTGTAATAAGCTCCCAGGCATCTCTGGATGAGACGGCAATGAGCTGACCGGGTTTTTTTTTTCTTATTTATTTTTTGCTCCTCTTCGTCTCTCCTCCACTCACTCAGCACGATTTGGGTATGTATGCATGAAAACAGCTCTCTGTGAAATGTCCTAGGCTTCATTCATGCATGTTTAGCATTACTTTGCTTTCCCCGCTTTTTCTAATTTGAGTGTAAAATGAACAGTGTTGTGAAGTTTTGCGGGCATAGAGGGCTTTTGAAGAGATTATTACTGACCAGAAAATGTGCAGGGTGTAAGAAGTCTGACATAAAAGGCAGCCTAGTTTTTCTCTGAATTCATGATAAGAGACAGAGCATAATTTGAAGTAGCTGACTCGGAGCAAAGCAGTTTGTTCGTGTAATTATTTGAAATATCTCCACTGTTGTGTATTCATAGGTTTTGGAGCCCGTCATATTATGCAAGGATCTGCAGGAGGAGAAAACTGAGTAGACTTGTGAAGGCTGGAATCGCACTTACTATGGATTTAAAAGACTATTACCTGTTGGGCACCTTGCTCGCCTGCATTTGGCTCGATCCCTCGATAGCCCAAGAACTGATTTATCCCATCAGAGAGGAGCTGCCAGAAAACGTGCTCATTGGAAACATACCAAAGGACCTAAACATTTCCCATACAAATGCTGCCACCGGAGCGAGTGCTAATCTGGTCTACCGGCTCGTCTCCAAAGCTGGAGATAACCCACTGGTGCGCGTCCTCAGCAGCACTGGGGAAATATTCACCACATCAAACCGAATAGACAGAGAGAAGTTATGCCCTGGCCCGTCTTTTGAGGACAGTGAGTGCGCCTTTGAAATTGAAGTGGTCATTCTGCCTAATGATTATTTCAGGCTGATTAAGATCAAAATAATAGTCAAAGACACAAACGATAATGCACCCATGTTCCCGTCGCCTGTCATCAACATCTCCATCCCAGAGAACACACTCATTAACAGCCGCTTTGCCATCCCCTCTGCCACTGACCCAGACACTGGCCCCAACAGTGTGCACAAATATGAGTTGATCAATGGGCAGAGTGCCTTCGGCTTAGACATAGTGGAAACGCCTGAGGGGGAGAAGTGGCCCCAGCTCATTGTGCAGCAGAATTTGGACAGAGAACAGAAGGATACTTATGTAATGAAAATCAAAGTAGAAGACGGGGGCAGCCCTCAGAAATCCAGCACAGCGATCTTACAAGTGACAGTGACGGATGTGAACGACAACAGACCGGTGTTTAAGGAGAGTCAAATAGACGTGCACATTCCGGAGAACTCTGGCATAGGCACGTCGGTGGTGCAACTCCAAGCGACGGACGCGGACATAGGGGCCAACGCTGAGATCCGGTATGTGTTTGGGACCCAGGTGCCACCCGCCACAAAAAGACTGTTTGCATTAAACACCACCACCGGGCTGATAACAGTGCAGCGGCTTTTGGATAGAGAGGAGACTGCCATTCACAAGCTGTCAGTTTTAGCTAGTGATGGGAGCTCCAGTCCGGCCAGGGCAACTGTTTCCATTAACGTGACTGATGTGAATGATAATCCTCCCAATATAGACCTGAGATACATAATCAGCCCTATTAATGGCACAGTTTTCCTCTCTGAGAAGGATCCTATCAACACTAAGATTGCTCTGATTACTGTCTCGGACAAAGACACTGACATCAATGGAAAGGTGATTTGTTTCATTGAGAAGGACGTGCCCTTTCATCTCAAAGCCGTCTATGACAACCAGTATCTGCTCGAGACATCTGCTCTGCTCGACTATGAAGGAACCAAGGAATATAACTTTAAAATAGTGGCGTCTGACTCAGGGAAACCGAGCTTAAATCAAACTGCTTTAGTGCGAGTGAGACTAGAGGATGAGAATGACAACCCACCTATTTTTACCCAACCAGTCATTGAGCTGACTGTCATGGAAAACAATAAAAGAGACTTATTCCTGACAACTTTGAGTGCCACAGACGAGGACGCTGGTAAAAATGCAGAGATTGTATATCAGCTGGGGCCCAACGCATCTTTTTTTGATCTGGATCGCAAAACAGGGGTGCTGACTGCGTCGAGAGTTTTTGACAGAGAAGATCAAGATAGATTTCTCTTCACAGTAACAGCTCGAGATAACGGAACGCCCCCTTTGCAAACGCAAGCGGCAGTTATTGTAACAGTCCTGGATGAGAATGACAATAATCCAAAATTCACACACAACCACTTTCAGTTCTTTGTATCAGAGAATCTCCCCAAATATAGCACTGTGGGTGTCATAACAGTCACAGATTCAGATGCAGGTGAAAATGCTGCAGTTGCACTCTCAATACTGAACGACAATGAGAATTTCATTTTGGATGCTTTCTCTGGCGTGATCAAATCCAACGTCTCGTTTGATAGGGAGCAACAAAGTTCATACACTTTTGATGTCCGGGCAGTGGACAACGGCAGACCCCCTTGCTCCTCTGCTGCCAAGGTGACCATCAATGTCATAGATGTCAATGACAACACCCCCATTGTAATCTACCCCCCTTCTAACACTTCCTTCAAGCTGGTTCCTCTGTCCTCGATCCCGGGATCTGTGGTGGCTGAAGTGTTTGCAGTAGATGGGGACACTGGAATGAACGCAGAGCTGAAATACACCATTGTGAGTGGAAACAGCAAGGGCTTGTTTCGAATTGACCCGGTGACTGGCAATATTACACTGGAGGAGAAGCCAGCTGTGACTGACATAGGCTTACATAGATTAGTGGTCAACATAAGTGACTTGGGTTATCCTAAATCTCTCCACACTCTAGTGCTGGTGTTCCTTTACGTCAATGACACAGTGGGCAACTCCACAATGATCTATGACCTAATCCGTCGCACCATGGAAACGCCAATTGACCGCAATATTGGCGTGAGTGGAGAAACTTACCAAAGCGGGGACTATTTAACAATAATGATAGCCTTCGTCACTGGCGCCCTGGTGGTCATTATTGTCATCTTTGTCACCGTGTTGCTCCGCTGCCGTCACGCCTCTCGATTCAAAGCAGCTCAGAGGAAAAAACAAGGAGCTGAGTGGATGTCACCCAACACTGAGAACAAACAAAACAAGAAAAAGAAGCGAAAGAAAAGGAAGTCACCCAAAAGTTCACTCTTAAACTTTGTGACTATCGAAGGTAACAAACCAGATGACCCAGCGCACGAGCCAATCAACGGCACCATCAGCCTGCCGACAGAAATGGAAGATCAGGGCATCGGGCGTTTTGATTGGAACGCCACGCCCACCACCACCTTCAAGCCCAGCAGTCCAGACCTGGCCCGGCACTACAAGTCTGCCTCTCCGCAGTCGGCTTTTCACCTCAAGGCGGACACCCCAGTTTCGGTGAAAAAGCACCACGTGATTCAGGAGCTGCCCTTGGATAACACGTTTGTGGGGGGCTGCGACACCCTCTCCAAGAGATCGTCCACCAGTTCGGACCACTTCAGTGCCTCGGAGTGCAGTTCCCAAGGAGGCTTCAAGACCAAGGGGGCGCCCATGCACACCAGACAGCAGGTAAAAGAGCACTTTTACTGGTCTATAAGTACTGCCTATAATTGCCCCGTCCCCCAGTGCTAAAGTGCCAGTCTACTGTAGAATAGGAGCCTTTTAAGTTACTGTGAAGTTATTAAGATAAAAAATATACACTGGACACTTCTGCTACTTTGGTTTGAACCACTTGTTTGAATGGACTCATCAATTGCATATAGAGTATCAGTCTGGGGAATGATTAGATTGATGTTTTGTCATTGCTATAGTTAATATACAATGGTGGTCAAAAATATAAGCACACTTTTAAAATGAACACATACTCAAATGTCGTTGACATGCCTTCGCCCTATGAACAAACAGATATGACATATCTTGAAAGTGAAGCCTACTCAGCTACAGAAATAATGACTGATAGAATAGCAGCTAGAAACGAGTCGATTTTGAACAGAAATCATGAAAAGTGGAGACACATACAGCTCGTTATTCAACAAAAATCATATTGCTATTTTCAGACATCACAAGCATAACATATTTTCAGGCCTGTCAAGTGTCCTAATAATTTTGGCCACCACTGGATGCATATTTATACTATTTTACTCTGCCTTATTTTGTCTATTCAGCACCCAGGTTAGCTCACTTACAAAAAAAAAAAAAATGTGACTCAATGTTGTCTGTGAAAGAAACATTTTTTCTGGCCTATCTACTCAGATTACTATCGCGCCGTAGATAAACGCTGCCACACATAATCCCCCTTTATATAAAAGAAAAAAGCAGAGTTTCCACATCTTCTTCTCTCTCTCTCATGAAGTGTATTCATGTTTTCGTTTGTTCCTTTCTTTTGGTGTGTATTCTGTAATCACAAAATAATAACGCCACAACCTTTCCAACAACAGCAGTCAATAATAATTAGTTGTGGTGCAGCGCCGTTATGAATGCCACTGTAGGCTTCATCCAGGCTTGAATTAAATGCTTCCTCTCTCAGCGCGCACTAGCAAACCACGAGTGAAGCAACTTGATACACATCCAATTCAAAAAGGATTAGCCAATAATGAGCCTCAAATTTCAACGTAATCCATGCCTCTTTTTATCAAAGCCTTATTAATTTTTCTGCTAATAAAGCGCCCTTGACACCCCAACACGCATACACACACACACACACACACACACACACACGTGATAGACACAATGATACACTCAGACGCTGGAGTGGAGAGACACACAATGTTGTTCAGAGCCTGGTTTGTAGTACAGGGAGGTGGTACTGAACCTGTGGGGGGCAGTGTTGCGCTACATGGCATGGTCTGGCATGGAGCCAAGGCTGCATAGGTCTTTCTAAATGCAAGGGAGGAGAAGAAAGAAGTGAGACCTGTCGCGGTGTTCTTAGTGAAAGCGTGGGGCCTAATGATGCGGTGGGTGTGTGGGGGGAGGGCGAGGGGGAGACGGATGCTGGCAGTTACAGATGCGAGTGATAAGATGCATCCTGACGACTACAGAAGGGCCGATTTGGTCCGATGCTTTTCACACATGTAAGTCAGGGCCAGTGTCAAGATGAGCCGAATCAAATTGAACTCAATATCCAAATGGTCAGGATTTGTGTGAATGGTGGCGTTATTTCTTCTAGGAGAGTGGTTATCAATTGGAATGTGAGATTTTACAAAAGAAAATGAAATGTCAAAGTGATCATTCTGAGTTAGAGCTGCCAATATTGAAACATTCTGTTGATTTATCGGACAGTGGTCCACCAAATGTTGTATTAGTCGACCTATTATTTTACTTCATATACAAGAATTTCTGTGCAAACATCAGAATATATGGAGGTATATGGGGAGGATTTTGATGTATAAGTTATTCAAAGCAGATTGAACTCTTGATTAATACATTCTATTAATATTGTTTATCGATTGCTAAATAGAAATTTGGTTAGTTGTTTTAATTTAATTTAATTTAGGGCATATTTTGAGCATAAATGATACTGATCTTCAACACTATAGACTCGATAAATGAAATATTGCATTGCAGTATTCGAATACAGCATATGCCACTCTGCAGTATCTCACTTCATATCCACTTTACTTCATTACTTGCAAAAACATTTAAGGAAAAACCAAACTTGCAAATCAGTAATTGTTCACATTTTATAAACTTTTCTAATCTTATTCCGAATTGGTATTTTTTCAATTACAGTCTAACATATTTAGCACTTCATGTCTTTATAGCTGTAGAATTCAATGACAAATGAAACAATGTTGTAATTTATTTTATGTGGCTTTTGATTACAAGCAGAGATTCACAACTTTTATCTTTAAGAGTAATCTCCGTTATCACTTATAACATCTTCGTGACACTGAACATTTAATCTGCCTTTGCTTCTGATCCTTCATCCATTCAACTGAACTACTCTATGCGTGTTTCTCCACATTTTGTTCTCTTGCAGTTCTACATCTGCAGACTTTAGCACAGGAAATAAACTTGTCACAGATGCAATTTCCGCCCAATGCAACGGGGCTTGTCTAAACAGGTCCGTGCGGCTCGGCCCCCCGGTGCCTGACCCCTGCTCCGGAGCGTGAGTCGCAGTCTGAGGATGCAGCTGGTACAGTGTCATTATGGAGAGTGTGAGGCTGTGACGGAGGGTGCGAAGGTGCTGAAGCGGGTGCTAGAGTTATAGAGCTTTAGTTGGGTAGAGATGGGGGTGGGTAGCAAATCTCACCCATGACACCAGAAGATGACACCATAACTAACAGCGCCATTGATCCTCTCAGTCTTTCCTTGATACATTCAGCTCAATGGTTATGACAAATGGATCCATACAATGCGCTGTGTTTTCCTGAAACAAAATATTTGACAGAATCTCAAAACAAGTGCATTGTCAGTGGTGTAACACGTAATAATCTCCCAGCGCAGACTACAAAACAACAACTCGTATATACAACGTAATAGCTTTTATTTTTGCCAACTAAAACAGATGGAGTGAATAAATATTGTACGCCTGAGCAGTGGTTGTATAAGTAGTTTTATTTTGGTATGGGAAACAGTTGTTGTAAGAAAAATAATTAGGAAAACAGAAGATTTGAGTGGAACTGTGATGTAAACTGAACAAAAATCAAAGAATGACTAGAGCAGCAACTGGCGATTGTGGTGATAACCAATTCATCTAGCCATTATGATGGTTGATTCATTGATAAGCTGTTAAGAATGCGGATATGTGATTTTTATCTAGTTTTGTGGCAGAAAAGGTTTAAGAAAAGCAGCCGGAAGACATTCTAACAGATAATTAGAATTGGGCGGCACGGTGGCTGAGTGGATAGCACTCTCGCCTCTCAGCAAGAAGGTCCTGGGTTCGAATCCCGGTTGGACCAGGGCCTTTCTGAGTGGAGTTTGCATGTTCTCCCCGTGTCTGCGTAGGTTTCCTCCGGGTGCTCTGGTTTCCCCTACCACTAAAAATATGTACAATAGGTATAGCATGTGCCTCCTGTACTGGCACCCCCACTCCCAAAAATCACAATTGTAAACCGCTTTGAGACTCCGATGTGCAGTGAAAAGGCGGTATATAAATAAAGATTACTTACTTACTAAAATTTCCAGATAATATAAGAAGAAAATGAGGTGTGCATTTCTTGTTTTTTTTTTTGGTATGATACAAAAATGTTGTTAGAAAAATTATTATGAAAGCAGGTTTTGAATGAATCTGACATAACAAATATCAAGAAATCATATATAACCTTACATTGAATAACCAACTTTTAGCAGGCGTAATGGAATGACCATATAAGGACAAGGTTCGGTCAGTAGTTAGCATTGATGTTGAGAAGAGCTAGCTGTCGCCCCCTCCGCTCGCGCTACTTGCTAGCTAAAGCCAAATTTGGGCATAGAAGTCTCTTGATTGGCCAGTTTCTAGGGCTCATATGTTTATTTTTAATGGCAATCACAGTAGTTAAGACCAGAATAATAGCAAGCACTTAACCCTGGATTTTTAAGTCTAAAATGCGGGGTGTGACGCAAACAGTTACTGGGATAGATGAGTTTAGTCATTAGGAGCCAGTGTGAGTAGGAGCAAAACTTCCACCATGAGCACTTCCCTATTCGGCCTCATTGAAATAGGGGGTTAGCAATATCCATCTATAAACAGTCTATGGTCATGACTTGACACCGACTTTAATCGCTTGAAAATAAACCATCGCAATAATAAATACATTTCTTCTTTCGGCCCCCGGAGAGATGTGGTGTCGGGAGAAAATGCCACAGCGGTTTGGTCTAATTTCATGGAATTCATCAGCACCAAACTAAGAACTAAAACACCTCTTTCTGATCTCATTTTGGCAAATCATCAGGTACCTCATCCCTGTGAATGGTTAGGAATAATGTGTCAGGAAAGTGTGGAGCAGATGTGCACGACTGAAAGCACTGGAAGAGTTCAATTGTGTTTTAAGATGGTAAACATCCAAAATTACATCATTGTAGTCAATCCAAGATCCTTCCTCCTGGTTTATTGCTTCCTATGATTTGATGTAATCCATCTCTGGTATCTCCATTCTACATTTACCCGCTAAACATATCTGGCAGCTCATAAGGGCTTATCAGCATTTTTGAATTATTGTTATTGATGGGAAAGCTCGCCGAGGCTGTTTAGTCTGAAATATTTTGTTTCCACTATTTCACTAACAAAACGGGTCAATTGAGGTTAACCTGTGGCTATTGATTAGGCTTCCCTCCGACATATTTAGCAGATGAGGTGAGGATTTGACGTCGATGTTTTTACTGTATAGTTTGAGGTGTAGGGTGGTATTGACATGACAGAGCATCAATTTCACTGACATCCAATGCTCTTCCAGTAAGTCATGAGCTATTTGCTTTCGGTTGTGTTCTGTTGAAGGATTTATCTGGAGATTAGCTGTGAGATATAGAAAAAAAAAATGCATATATATGTTGAGTGATATATTGAGGCTTAATATCCAAAAGTAATATACCGGTTTATCAAATCATATCCTCTGCTGAATTGCTTTGGAAAATGATAAGATTTCTAATAT